TGCATCGCTTCTAGTAACAAGTGCCTTACTAGTAGTAACAAGAAGCTTTAAGGTTTAGTCGGTTTAGTCAGCCGGGAGGTTGATCCACACAACACTCACGTCAGCCGAGAATCGGCGGGGCTGTTTCCGGCCGATTCTAGAAACACGCTGCACTCACGGCCTCAGTCTGTCTGAATCTCCTGCCTGATGGCTTGGATCATCTCCACAAAGACTTCATTCACCCCCTCATGCCGTCTCGCTGACCTTGGAGGAAACTCATGCTGAAAACAACACTAAGGGCACACAAAGCGATGCCAACATTCTTCTTTGGGTGAGCTCCCCACACAACCATGTTGGAGGCCATCGCTAATAGAAACACAGAAAAAGAACATACAGTTTGCTATTATGTCCCAGAGATTCCCAGAGTATAGTAGTATAGTTGGAAATCCGGTATACTTCTGGCTTACCCATGCAAGGACCACATTGCAGAGTGAGAGCAGGACGTTATTCTGCAGATCAGGTCATTGTTCTCCGCAAAGGCCTCACGCTTTGGGTGGTTCTCTCAAAGGTTCAAATACAAGTTCTGAGGTTCCGGCCTCAGCATTCTCAATATTCTTCCTGTCAAAGCTGGTTTTGAAAACACACCAAACCGCTAAACTGATCGCTGTGTCTGTGCCTCCTATCTCTGTTTTGAACCGAGTGATGAAGATTCATTGCATCGTCGCGAAAAAGATCGCTTTGCCTGTGCCCTCTCCGGCTCTTCCAATTCACGTCGGCACCAAAAGGAGAAGAAATCAGCCCGGCCTGACGTCATCGCCTGAGGTGCCCTTGTCCGACTTGCAGCCCACCAACCAAATGTAGGGCTCAGCCGAGTGGCGACAGTGGGCGGTGGGACGTCAAAACATCCAACCACAAAAGGCGGAAGGCCCGAAACCCATGCTGAAAGCATCACTGCCACAATCATCCATCACACTCTGTTGACCAAGAGTCCTTCAGTGGTATAAGAATGTGACCGCCCCCTTGATTAGGGTCTGCTGACTGTTGAGGTTCCGACGGCCAAAGCTCTGCTGCTCCACATGAGATGCTTTTTGAGGCTATCAGTCAGCAACTTGTGTACTGCCATTGCCTGCAGCACGACACGTTCACTCTGGATTCATACAGCAGTCACACTTTGCGAAACGGAGATAGAATCTTCGACAAAAAGATGTAAACAGTGATTATGCCAGATTCCGTCATGGACCCGTCAACTTGTCCAACAACCTCCGAAAGTAAAGACTCTTAAGCGGTTTTGTCATTGTACCACCTTGGTCCTTGGTGTTACTCGTGATCATTCGTTTCATCCCTGGGTCCCAGGTCACTCGACAAAAGACAAAGCACAAGAAGAGACGGGCCCTGCCTCCTTCAGCGAGGCCATGCTGTCGTCTGAGACATCAAAGCAAATAAAGTAGCCCTGCATGTTGTCTGTTGCAGAGATGGGTCCCAACATCACATAACCATGCTACAAAGGTCTCCAGAGTGCGTAAATATATTGAATTTAACAGTGTCAGGATGTCAAAAGAAAAATTGGGGGAGGTCATGTTTTGATCTATATATATATATACCACCGTAGATTGGGAGCGAAGCAAGAGGTTTTATTGAAACACTCCACCAACACAAAAGGGCAGTGAAGCTGTTGGTCTCCACCCCCTCTTTTTCTCATGAAGTTGGAAGCTAGAATCAACTCAGCTTCAGGGGGGCAGCGTGGGTGAGGCTTAAAGGTCTTGCTATGGATGCTGATATCGGGCAAACTGACATTCAAGGACCAATTATATGGTATAGGCATAGGCGGCATAGGTGTTTTCTTTTTTCAACGGCCTTACGAGCTCAACATGGATCATGATCCATCATCTCACAGAGCTGCTTGTTTAAGATCCGCATCACCTTCTGAATCCTTCCCTCTCTTCCCTTGACCGATAACAACCCAACGGTTTCGCACCATGCGGTTTCGCGTGAGGGTCTTGTCGACGTCTGCTGCACCCACAGGGCGGTCGTAGGCGGACAAAGCTGCCGGTCGGTTTGCGGGAAAGCCGGGTGGTAGGGTGCACAGCTCATGGTCAGCTCGTAGGGCTTTTCAGTCAAAGAATGCAACATATTTGAAAAGCCCTTAGTGTTGGCAGCACTTGCAGTCCCACCAGTCAACTCTCCAAAAATCAATCCATTCTGGAGAGGATTAAGCATCGCCAGCGGCACGTTTCTGAAGAGCTATGAGCCGGTCTTTCTTCTCCTTTTGAGAAACGAAGACCTGGCGATCAAAGAAAGAATTATTTCAGTACAAAAAGAAAGAAAGAGCGCTTTTAAAGCCATGCTGTGCCTCCAAAATGGGTATCACATTCTATAACAACAAAAGGAAGTTGACAAGCCCAAGAATTCCATCTATGGCATCCAAATTCCCTTGCCAACCTTTAGTGAAAGGTGACCAGCTTCACTGTGGTTTTATCAGTAATTAGACATGACAAACAGGCCAAAACCGGATTTGCACATGCTGTTGGAAGTGAGGCCAACCTGGCCTTCTCTTTCTTTTCGGCCAGGTTCAGGAACTCGTCGATAGGTAGCTGTGGCAAGGCCGGAGTGTGCGAAACTGTCAAAAACATGTCTGCGCGCGTTTACTCAAGATTTCATACGCTCATAGTTCACGTTCTTATCCCTTGGACACTCCATTGCTGAATGACATGGTTTTCACTTTGACTTCAGTATCGCCAAACCAAACATTTAGCTTTTGGCATCCTTCCAAATACCATGTCCAAAATTGTCCAAACACATGTCCCCATATACAAAGGGCATCGCTACTAGGAACAAGGACGCTACTAGGGGCTCCTGGCATCGCTACTAGGAGCAAGAAGCTACTAGGAGCAAAGGGCATCGCTACTAGGAACATGTCCTTCTTTTTATCACCCCATCTCCATCCGACTTCTCCCGGATGGCACCGTCAGGGAGACTTTCAGCTTGGCGGCACCGGGTGGAAAGGTCCAGACTCCGCCCTGTCGACCACGCCAGCTCGACGGGACTCGTGATCCGGGAGTTTAGGAGAAAACACCGTCCAGGACATCGATGGACCTTGGAGGACCAGCGTGAACTTGAGATGAGCTTCATTTTGGCTCACCAAGGACCAGCGTGTGAGAAATGTGTGATGTTCTTTGTTATTCGGGGGGGTGGCTTTCGCAACCGCAACAGATCTCTAGCTTTCGCATGACGAAGAGCGAGTACAAATTATAGATAATCGCCACAAGATCTCGTCTTTCGACTGTTCAGCCTAACGAAGTAGCACAAACAGGCCTAAAGTTAAAGATTGGCTAAAGCTAAAGAGGGACGCTTCAAGCTTTGGATCGCGTCACTTGCACTTTGTTGAAAGAAAGGAGTCTGCACCTTCTGTGCACGATCTTCTGTCTGGTACCTCGTTGTCCCTAGTCCTAAGCCCAGTAGTGGCGCCGAGAAGACTTCCCTTTCATCCTGAGAAAACCGCACGTTCCACATCGTTCCACACTCCGCACATTCCGAAATGGTACCTCACTCCCATCGGGGGATGGCAAATAGATGCTGCCATCTTTGCCCATGGAGCGCACGTTGAACTCCCTGGCGTAGACGATCCGATATGCACGGACTCTTAATAACTACTGTGCAGTTCTGCAGATTCCAGTTGCCGAATTGTGCTAACGGCAGGGTCCTGAGACCTACATTACTCTACATTGCGCCACTTGCTTCCAGAACTCGCATCAAAAAGCGCTGGCAACACTTCCCCAGCATGTTCTCCATCGCACGCTTGTAGACCACTCCCTTGGACTGCTGTCCAAACTTGTCGAAGAGCTGCATCAACTGCCAGGTCTCACGTGAACGTGCGGGGGGTTCTGGGGGTCCAAAACTAGCACCCTCTTGTAATACTAGGGTAGAAAACGCTACTAGGAACAAGAAGCTACTAGGGGCTCCTGGCATCGCTACTAGGAGCAAGGACGCTACGAGGTCCATTGGCCCCTGGACTCCATTGCGCTAAATGTGTTTCTCCTCTTTTCTGGCAGGGAAATAGCCACCCAACTCTTCCAAACAGGGACTCGCCATGGGGCAGAGTCAATTCCCTTTCTTGACCAACCAGAAGAGCACAAGCCAAGAAAGGCCAGAAATGGTCAGAAGCTCCTTGCCTCCTGCTTGTCCTTCACCACCACCACACGTGAACCCTTCAAGATCTGCGCGAAAAGGGTTGCTCAGGTCGAGTGCAAGGCAAGCCACCAAAGACACTCCACATCAGCAAATCATTCCGTCCAGCAAACATCTTCATTGCTGATTGACAATGATCTCCATTTATCATTTCAATCGTTCGAGATTCTGTTGTATCTCAGTCTCTCTCCATGTCCGCCTTGGGGTTTCCATCTGCCTTCTTGGCTGACTTCCTCCAGTCGCGGGGGAAGCTCTGCGGTGGGGTCTGGGACAACTTGCAAAGCCATCTTGCAAACCAACTACGTCTTCACGGAAAACAACACTGTCGCCGGTCGCGAGCAAGCAACATCGTACAACATGTTCTGTCCTTTCGTTGCATGGTGAAAATATGTTATAAACAGGTGCAAATCTCTCAAGGCACATTCCAACGCCTACGGCGCCTACGGCGCCTTCTCCTTGGAACCGCTGAGAGCCGGGCCCGGCGTCATCGTCTTCGTCGAAGCCACGCTCCGAGCCGGGAGTATCTTCGATCTGGAGGCAGGCACTGGTGGGTGCTCCGTAAGAGCTCTGCCCGAAGCGAACGAGCGAACGACCCAAACAGAACGCAGAGCTGAACAACCTATCTGGATGGCTTGGGGTTTTGAACTTCTCCGTTGCCAGATATAGAGTCTGAATTGGGGTTTTGCGGTGAACGAGTTCTTCCAAGCCAGGCCCAGCCTCCACCAGGATGGGTCTCAGGACCTCATGGTATTCAGTCTCCTGAAGCCGAAAGAGCGTTTTTGTGGCGAAGGAGGGGCAGCAAGAAACAGAAACGACAGCTCACCAGGTCAGAGGCATCCGGTATCCTCAAGCGATTTACTTTGACCAGAGGGATCCTTTGGCCCCTCAGACCTGCCCCTGGGACCCACCTGCATTCACTGTCTTAGGTCCAAGATGCATCCGGCAGCTGAGTCTTCTTGTGGTAGACCCTCGCCTAGGTCGAAGGTCGACTAAGGCGATATGCTTACAATCGTTGAGAGTCTTGCTTATTGTCGAAACACACACTTCAAGAGTGCTGCCAAGAGGGTTTGTAGTTTCCAAGTGCTATACTGTTTGTGTCAAAACAATTCAAAACAGCTGTACAAGGTTTGCTCAACCCACAACAAACGTGAAGCAAACGCCATCCACGGGGGCGAAAAACTCCCCCTACAGCGGACCCCTCTCTTGGCATGGAGCAGTCTCTGTTCTCACGTAGCGCGACATGAAGCTGCCTGAGCTCCAAGACAGAGAAAAAATGGGTGGTCCACCAAGGAAGGAGAGTCAAAGAAACCTAAATATGCGAAGAAACTCAACTGTCAGCTACTGGCAGACACTCACCAACTGATTTGAGCATTGAGTTGATCTTGTATGTTTATACCATATACCAATGTGCCGAGGGGTTAGAGCCTCAAGCTGTAGTTTGAGTGTTCGTGGTGCTCAGGTATGTGGATAGGACAAACCTGTCTAGTCTTGATTCAAGGGCACTTTAGGCCACCAGTTGATTTCTGTTACCAACGATGTTTCATTGGCTGAAGCGATCTGGAGCCCGCGGCAGTTGACAAAGGCATTGATCAAGCTTGTCTTGCCACTGGAAGAAGCACCAAGCACCTGCCAGGTGATTCGAAGACTCCGTCTAAGAGTGACTCCTAAGAGACAGACCAGTCTGGTAACAGCTTGCATAGAAGCTTCAAATCTCCCTACAAATCAACCACAAGATTCCTTTGAACACCCAAATGTGTTGAACAGGTCGAGTCCACTGAAATCCCCAAGCTCTTCGAGTTTGAAGCGTCCCGGTCTCGATATGGCGTGACCATTGGGATCCTTCCGGAACCCCTGCCAGAGAGTCTCCAGCAAATGTCCAAGCCCGGCAAATCGTGAGATCCCTGAGGCTCCTGCCGATATGCGGAAGAATCTCACCTTAGAGTGAACATATGTGAACATGCTCTAGTCACCTAGTCGACATCAAGAACCTCCTTGGACTTGCTTTCAATGAGAGCGAACCAACCATGCAACCATCCAGCTGGAGTGTGCAAGTTTCCACAAATTCTGCCGAGTTTCCGCAGAATCATCTGGCATGGCCAAAGGTCCACACGCTTTTCGAACACTCTGTAATTTGCAATCAGCTGTTTGAAGTCAAATTGGAACGATTCTGCCCTGTTGCTTCTGAAGAACTTGGATTCGGATGTACGACATGAGCTTTAACTTCTCCATGATTCACCTGAACCCAAAGCTTGCAGAAAATGGCCAGAAATGCCTGTGCAAGTCACGTCCATCGGTCCAATGCACATGAAACGAGCAATGACCATCGACTCAATAGATTCGGCCCCGGCATGCCATGGCTCCATCGTCTCTGCACACTCTTAGCGCAAGACCATTCGAGTAATGTCAACAGGATTGGAGGGCCGCTAAGCTTCAAATGAAGAACAGGTCGAATACGAAAGTGGTCTACAAAACAACAACAAATCCGTCAAGGAAAACCAAATTGATTGAACCCATGGGAATCACAGTTGGGTCAAACACAAATCTGACCTTAGGTTGACATGTTTTGGGTGCAGGCCTCCCTTCTTAGCTTCTTAGACACAAGAAGTCACATACAATTGCTCAGGCCACCGCGGAAGGCCGATCTTGAAAGCTGCAGCCCTTGTTTTTCGGACAAAATTGTGTGCCAGGCAAAGCCGGCAGGAAGATCTGGCGACCAGCACTGCCTAGCTGCTCTACAGAAGAATACAATAGACAGAATTGAAGTCTCTTGCTTTTCAGAGCAATTTCATCGATTTCTTTGGTCAGGAGGCTCTTTGGCCTCAGATTTCCCAGGCCAAGGATGTCACCTTGGCCGGGCACTTCTCTTTTTTCAGATGAGCTTCTTCTCCTTTAACTGGCACGAATTCGCGGCTGGGTGTTCATCTGTAGCGGACGCTCGGCAGTCACGTTGCAAGGCAGCCACCGCGCGTTGAGCTGACTGGCAAGCTTGCTCCAACCTGAAAGGCTGAGATGAACAACAGAGTCTGTATTGTATTTGTCTTCTGTTCTTTTTGTGGATCCCTCTTTTTGGGGGGCTCGACTTTTCGTGGATACAGGACTTCGGGACTTCTCTTCACGATCTTCGATGGGTGTGCCAGCTTGCTACTTTGCTTAACCTTTGCGAGGCTGCCGTCCCAAAAAAGGTCGCCGTGCAAAAGGGTCCCAGTGCGTCCAACCGGCGTGCACAGTGCTCGCCTCTCCTCTCCTCTCCTCTCCTCTCCTCACAACAGCAAGCGTCAGATCGCAGTGGGCACTCCCGGACCTCAACAGCAAGCTCCAGATCGCAGTGGGCATTCTATCAATCCGCATGTCCGCCTTTGTCAGGTTAGTCTGTCAATACACGTGCCCTGCCTTCTTCCAAATCGCCTTTCAGGGTGATCACTCGAAGTAGAGCCATTTAGAGTAATGTAGGGTGGCCACATGAAATGGACTTCCTAATTCAACTGCGGCTGACCCACATAGATGTTGTAAAATGATGTTCGCCACTTACAGCCTAGGTCTAAGAATCATTGAAAAGAAAAAGTGGAGAATAAAAGCAAACAAAAAGCAAAACCGATAAGAAGAGAATGATCTTTTCGTGTATAGGGAATGTACAGGGGACAGGGCATTTGCAGGGTATCAATATTGCAGAATTGTGAATGGATAACATCCTGCGACCAATGACAGCCTCTTGTGCCCCTGGTCGTCATAAGCGTGTCCTCGTGTGTTTGTATAGAATGGAAAAAAACCTGGAAAAATTGGTCTTTGGACGATAGTTGGTGGTTCTGCTACAACAAAGGAAAGAAAGAGAGAAAGGTTTGGGCCAAAGTTCTATCGTGCATGTTCTTCCATCAAAAATGGCTTCGTACATACTTACTTACATACTGGACAAAGATCAGCAGCTGAGCGACAGGCTCATTCCCTCCAAGGTGTACGCGCCAGCCACGTAGAACCCATCTTGGCCCTGCTTTTCTTGAATCCAGGACCACAACTCATGCATGGCAGTGGTATAGGTTGCTCTGGACAGCTGAACATCTTTCACTTTGAGATCTGGCGAGCACTCTTGTGCGGGATTCCAAGTCTCAAAGAGATTCTCACTGAGGTCATCTCTTCCCCAAAATTTGTTCAGCCAAACGGTAATTTGGCAAGTGCTATCTGGCCCATCTTCTCTCACATTGAAGGTCCGCCAGTCTTCCTTTTTGGGCGGCATCAAGGCAGGGTCCTTGTGCACAATGATCCGACCCTTCTGGTAATGAATCTTGGACAGCATGGCCTGCCACTCACCTCCCAACAAATATCCCGCGGCGGGTGCATCGGTGGCAACAATGACAGCATCGTACATGGTGCCATCGATCTCTCTGCTGCCATTGAAAGGAGCCACAGGAGAGTTGACCTTGAGCACCTTCCCCTCCAGCAGTCGATCCTGCAAGGCCCTCATGGTCGGATAGACACGCAGGATGTTCCCGCTGGACTGATACATTCGCACAAAGGGGTTGCTGGCTCGAATGAAGCCTAAGATTACACCGGCAGGTGTGCCATTGGCTTGCTCATATGTACAAGACAGCATCCAGCTCAAGTGCAAGCTATAGATCCGGTAGGCCTCATGATCATGGAGCTTGTGGCGCTTCATGTATTCCAAGAAGGTCTCATTGGGCAGCTCGGGGCGGAAGAAGACGGTGAACATCAACCTGACAGGGACAGCTCCAGCAGTCAAAACCTCCAAGTGACCCACCGCACTTCCCCACAGCCCCAGTCGAGCGCAAGCTTCGTCCATTAAAAGTACCTGAATCTCCAACCTACCAGTGATGGCCTCCACCCTAGTAGAGATGGCCTCCACCCTAGCAGCGGAACAAAATAAAAAACACATCCTTTGCACAGAACGCTCCTCGCCAAGTAGGGCACGTACTTCGCATGCTGGCAAATATGTGTGAACCAACTCGTCGAGGTGACTAGAAGCATCTCATCACCACACTGATAGGCCGCGTTGTAAGGCACTGCTTTCGTGGGGATCTTCAGCTGGCGGATCACTTGTAGGAGCTCTTGATAATAGTGAGGCATCATGAATCTCAAAGGAACATCAACTGCCACACCTCCCAAGACAGCATGACTCATGAGTCAACATTGATAGCAAAATCGGCATCGCCCGGGCTGTGAAGCATCGTATCTGAGACGTCTAGTCTTAGAATCCGCAACATTGGGGATATGGGCAACCAATGAGGTGTTGTCAGGGTCTAAGCTAGAACCATCTAGAACCTAGAACCCATCAGATTCATTTGGCGCTGTTCTCTTCCCCTTCCCCCCTTGTTCCAGTTTCTTTGGGAAGGCCTACTAAACTAAGTAGCATAGCTTTTAAGCTTCACAACATCACCGGTGAATTTCGCCCAAGCAAAAACACGCCAAACCGAACCCCACCCCCGAACTGCCGTCGTCTCGGTCGCCTCCAAGATCCTCCTGTAGCCCCACAAGGCCACACTTGGGGCCCGCCTCGAAGATGACCACGTCATGGGTCGCTTCCAAGAGATGGGCCGCAATTAAACCACTCATCCCTGAGCCAATCACTGCAGCCAGTGGCCTGGGGTGTTTCTTCACCTCCGCGTGGATTAAGACATAGTCCAAGTAAGGAGCTAAAGAACTGAGACCAGGCAGCTGTGATAGCACATGAGGTTCCAGTGATTTCCAAGAGATCTTTGAGAAGCCAGCCTCTTCCAAGGCCTTGCGATACTGCGGCTCAGTCCAGTGGTTGGACCATTGAATGTTCATTGCACAAAGCAACAGCCGGATCCACCAGGGTGCATCAGGGCGCAGCACCACGTCTGTCATGGACAAACTCTCTCTGGCCAGCTTGGCGGAGTCTCTGAGAAATCTGGCCTTCTGGAAGTGGTAGACGCAGTCCACTGCCAGGATCTTGGAGAATTCCCCACAACGGATGTGGTTCACTCCATGGGCCATCTCTTCCACTCGACCCACTCGGATCTCTTCCGGAGCTTCGGGTCGCGTACCATGAGCATCCAAGCCCTGGAGGCGCGTGGGGTGGAAGCGTTCTCGGAAGAATTGAAGCTCCTGCCCCTGGCCACAGCCGACGCAAAGGACCTCATCAGCCTCACAAAGTTGGGCTTCTTGTCCAATCACTTCGGCCAAGGACTGGCAGGCTTCGCCATACGACTTGGCCGACTTCCAGTAGCCTAGATTCATCCATGCAGTCGATTCCTGACCAAACACCCTTGCGACCTGGCTCTGCAGAGCTGTGACTATGAGGGAGTGAAGGTCATGATGATAGAAGGCGAGAAAGGCACCTAAAGCAAACCCTGGTGAGGCAATGTACAGGACCAAGGTCCAAAGAAGGAGCGAAATCGGTGAAGAAAGCTGCTCTGTCATGAAGGAAATGGTCAGAAGAGAGCTTGCTAAGACATCCACTGAGATGGAAATTTGGCAATCAGAAGAGGGCCAAGGACTCCGGCTGGATGCTAGATGTGTGAGGCAACTCAAAAAGGCCAACACCAAATAGACAATGCCCTTGTGGACTCGAGGGCCAAGGCGGCCAAGGCCGAGAACTTTGGGAACGATCAGGCAAACATGCAATCCCCAAAGCCACCAGCTCAACTCCCGGTATGTCTTGCTCATTGGCAACATCCATACACACAAGAAAGCCATCAAACATGCCACCAGCAGCGAGATGTGCACGGTGTCACGATCTTCTTCGCGTTCTCGTCGATGTTCAGGCAAAATCAGGCAATAGCTCCCAGACATTGCACCAAACAAGCCGAAGAGCTGGTAATAGAGGGGGGCATTGATAGTCCAAACAGTGCCCACAATGGCCCAACAAAGAAGCATCTGCGTGTAGCCCCAGTTGCCAGTTTCTTGTCCCCAAATCACATCGGCATATGCCACATCAAATAAATTCAAGCCATCTTGGTACCACGAGGTCTTTGGATAGTTGATGGTAAAGCGCAAGATATAAAACCACGTGACGGCGATCAAGAGCCCCGAGGCTCCTCTGCGTGCACCTGACTTGGTGCTGCAGTATGAAGCTATCATTGAGATGGCCAACACCACGAAGTACAAGGCCAAGCCAGCATAGTTCACCGGCGACATGGACACCATGGTGGAAAAGGGGCCCTTTCCTTGTGATCCACATATGGCTAGCAGAAGAAAATATCTCAAGCCAAGAAAAAGACTTGGCTTCACCGCATCTTTCGCACGCAGCTGGTGGGGTAGCTCTTTTGCGTGCAAAACCTCGCAAAATGAAGAGCTGCTTCGGTGTCATCCGGCATATGATATGTACATCGCGTGCCATGCAGGTGTGCAGAGTCCTCTTTTTGTTGTCTTGTTCTTTTGACAGCGGACATCATCAGAAGCTGTGGCTCTCGTTGCTTCTGTTGATGCCACGATGCAGCTGCTGAAGCTCAAAATGTGGGTGTTTCTGCCCAACGGTGTCATGACACAACCCGTCTCGAAAGAGAGAGGCACACAGAATGTTCACCATGGATCACGAGCTATAACAAATAATCCTACCCCCGATGTGGGTCAACACCCCCAGGTCGCCAGTTTGAGGGAGGCAAACCCTCCCATGGGTGTGACTAAAGGATAAAAGGAAAGGATTAAATATATAGAGAAACCTGTATTCTTTCTGCCCAAAGGGTCTGAATTGTGAATCCTTGTGGGTACAGGACCAGGGTTTTGACCCACAGCGGGAACCTGCTTCGGCTGGTTGCTCATGAGTCCTTCCACTTGGCAGCGCGCTTCTCAATAAAGGCCTCATCCAATTCTTTTTTTCCATGGATGCAGTGGGTGGTCAAGTGCGGTATCTGCAGTCACTTGGCACAGCAAAGTGAGGATTTCACCACCTCTGGTGCAGGTTCTCTCACCGGTTCTCTCAACCCAATTCGACTCTCAAACGACTGCATTTGCTCTCAATTCAACAGGGAAAACGGAGAAAACGGAGAAAGAACGGCCAATGTCCAGCACCCCGGAAACGGCCGGCTGCCTGGAAGCCTTCACGTCGATCTTCAAGGCCCCAGGTGGCATGGAACAAATGTCGTTCAAACCTGCGTGATGGGCCGTGATGGGCAGTGGTTGTCATTCAAATACCTCCCAAGTCGACTTAGAGAGGAACGTTGTATGGATTTGTGAGAAGTCTGTTTTCAGGAGGAGTTGGTTCTCGAGTTCTCAGGGTGATTTCTTAGCAGGAGAGGGTTGTGAATGTTATTGGGGCTGCAGTTCCTCATGTATCAAGAGAACAAATGACTTCGAATCATCATTTATGATTCATGATTCATTATTGTTTCTTGAGCAAAGGCCACATGGACAGCCATGAACACGCTGCTTCTCTTTCTCTCGCGTGATTGCTGCGTGGCTGATGCGCTGCAGCGGTCATTAACTGGCACTGCAACTCAGCAGTGCCTTCTGGACATGGAATCTGTTTGAACAAGGAAATGCTGATGTCCACGTGCGCAAGACTTCAGGTATAACCGCCCTGTGTTGAATTTACTGAGTCCAGCTCTCAGTCCAAGTTTCCAACAACCGAGCATTGACAGCCTCACGTGTTTTCGGTCCCCCACGTAAATGTCGCTGAAGACATCAACAAATCCCGAGCTGATTCACACCATTTTGAGTCTTAAGCGCTTCGAAAGCACCAAAGCAACAACTGGAGTGAAACAAAGGACGAGCCAGGCTTACCTCAGTAAGTTGGGATCACGAATGCACGAGAAATATGATGTATTAGATGGCTATTATTATTTATTAGTATCTATTAGATTTTATTAGTATATACATGGCGGCTAGTGGTGGCTTGTCAAACTGTTTATTCCTGGAATCGAAATTCCATGCATGCCGCCTCTCGCTTTCACACAAAACCCACAATCAGCAATGTAGGTATTCAATAAAGGCAACACACAAAGCAAATTTGGTCATCGTTGAACAAATCTTGAAACCGCTGCAAGCAAACATTGCATTCCAGGAGCCTGTGTCTTTTACTTCTTCCTCTATATATAAAGAATTTTAAGGATCCCAAGGGTTAGGGGTGTTGCTCAGTTGTCAACTCTGCCCTTTGTTTACACATCTCTCAACGTGAGCCTCCACAAACATCCATAAACATCATATGGGCAAATAGTTCTGGGATGTTCTGGGTTATATATGAGTTATGAGAATCTGGAGTCTGGCACCAACCCGGCAGACCCTGTGGCGTTTCTTCGAGCGCCAATGCGCGGAAACCTAGGGGATGACGTGGACATCTTCTTGAGGTGCTGCCTCTTGACGAAGAATGAACATGCATGTCTATGCATGTGAGCAAGGACACTGCTAGGGGCTCCTGGCCGTACTACTAGGAACAAGAAGCTACTAGGGGCTCCTGGCATCGCTACTAGGAGCAAGGACGCTACTAGGGGCTGTGATTGGTTCAAACACTCACACACCGCGCGAGCAAAAGAGAGAGGCTGTCCTTCCTCCCACCCCTCGTCCTCCCCCGCGGCTTCGGCCACGGCACCGGAGCGGCTTGAGCCCCATGCCCTTTCGGATCTCATTCCACTCCTCCACCGACAAGCCGTCCTGTGAGCCGTCATGTGGGTTCCGTGAGCGAAGGGCTCCGTGAGCGCGGGCTCCGCAGACTCTGAACACATCACATGGTTACGTGGATAGTACGACTTCTTTTGGAAGACTACTTTCCTTCAACAAGCAGGGTCACGTCCATGTTAGTGAGTCGGAGAGTAAACAGAAAACAATTGGAGATGGGCCATGGCAAAACAAAATTCAAGGCATCACCAAAACCGGATCAAAGGGATACACAGACCCAGATCGAATGACTCTCTGGTGGGCGGTCTGTAGGACAAAGTTGATTGCTTGCGCCTTGTCTTTCTTGGCATGTCCTGCTGCTCTTTCTTCATCTGCCTTGTTGACCTTATTCGTACGTGACCACGTCTTTTGATGTGTTTGTCTACGTCTACGCATGGGCTTGTAATGCGTTCTAAGCATGCGGCATTCTTTGACTTCTTTGTTTTCTTTTCATCCTCTTTTTCTTTTTTATCTTTCTTGTCTTTCTTTTCCTTCTTCTCCTCTCTATCATGGTCTTTCCGTTTGTGCCCTTGCTCCTGATCCTTCGTCCTTCTTTCCTTCCTATCTTCATCTCGGTCTCTTCTCTCTTTTCTCTCCTCCCTTCTCTCCTTCCTCTCATCCTCTCTCCTATCCCTCTTCTCCACATCTCTTCGTTGTTTTCTCTCCTCACTTCTATCTTTGGTCTCTTTGGTCTCCTCCACCTTCTTTTCTTCTGGCTCCTGCGCCTGCGGCTCTTTCTCCGCCTCTGTGATGGCTTTGGGCTCATCCTTTGCTTGCATTTCCTGAGTTCAGGCAGACCACCCCCACCAGCTGGTTTTGGAGATCACAGAGTCAGATTTGTCCGAATCTTGCTGGATCTTCCAAGAACTCGGACAAAGCATTCCCTGTTCCAAAGTCCCCCAGAATGCTGCTGATGCTTTGAGTGGGCCATAGGCTAGGAGTCCGAAGCTCCTTCGGCGAACACAGATTTACTTGGATGGATTTCTACTTTATCGTGAACAAAATAAACCATTCTGTTCTCCCTGCACCTGCCGTTCTCAAATCACGGCTCAGCCAACCCCAAACGGGACTTAGGTGGTTCATGCTTCAGCTTGTTCATCACAACAGTATATAATGGTGCTGGTGATGCTGCCTTAGCCCTTTGCTTTTCGAGCATTTTATGGATGCCATCTGATACAAATTGAAGCATGAACCAAGAGCGACCGTGGTTGAGCGAGTTTCCGGCACCAAGAAGGCTTGTTCTTCACATGTTCATATGTTCAGCAATCTGGGCTAAAGCAGCTTCTTGCTCCGTTCGTAGCGATGCCAAGAGCCCCTAGTAGTGTCCTATGTCCGAGAAAGTGAGACCCCGTTCCCGTGCACGTCTTCGACCCCATCGCCTTGAGAGATCTTTCGAGCTCTTCTAAGTCTTCCAGGTCGTCTTCGAGGACCTTGATAGGAAAGTCGTGGGAGTCACCCCGCTGCGGCAGATGGCTTGTTATGTATGGCGAGTGATGGGGATTCTATGGGATCATCCATGCACCTCTCTCACGTGAAGCAACTAACACACGCGATCTGTCGATATGTATTGCAGATTCTTTTCTGTGTCCAGTTGCATGGTGGTTGTTGCTGCTGTTGGTATAGCGGGTTCCAAGAGAATTAACCTTTAAACTTAACAGGCTGGAAGAATGGAAAGAAGTTGCTCGATCTTTGCTACCAGCTACCATCTCCAATCTGAAATCCAGAAGGCAGGGCGAGGCATCCGTCCAATCTTCGCATGTTCTGAAGCAAAGAAAAATGGCTACTAGCAGCAAGGACGCTACTAGCAGCACGTGCATTACTACTAGTAACAGGTGCATCGCTACTAGTAACAAGGACGCTACTAGGAGCAAGGATGCTCTGCAGCATGGATCACTTCCTCACCTGAGTCTCGGCCTGTCTCAGTCCCCAGCGCTCTGGTACACATCCAGCTGCCCAGTTTGCTCCAAGATCTCTCGCTTGGGGATCTGGGGCATCGTGACCTGAAGCAAGTCCGACTTGGGGATCTCGAACGCTACTAGGGGCTCCTGGCCTTACTACTAGGAACAAGAAGCTACAGGGGCTCCTGGACTTGGGGATCTGGGATAGTGCTTTTTAATGCTCCTTCCGGAAAGGAGTTAGACATAGGTCTTCGTGATGTTTGCTTTCCATTCTTTCAGGGGCTATACTGATATATATATACATAGGTGGTGATTTACATTGTCAGTCACCTGGTTTCTTTGGATGTGGATTTATTTCAACATCACTACCCTTTCCTGAGAAAGGACGTCAAAAACTGTAAGTTACATTTTCCTGTGCGGAGGGCCTCAAAAATGTAATTACATTATTTTTGAGGTGGCCTCAAAAAAGTAACCTACATTGTTGAGGCCCCAGGGATCATTTTCTGGGTAATGACCTCAAAAATGTAAGTTACATTTTTGAGGCACGGTGGGGCGCTTACATTTTTTGACCCCCTGAGTCTGTTTACTTTTTGTGAGTGTGCCTTTAATTGCTGTTGTGTGGTTTGCTGCTGCTGAAAAGCAAACATGATGGAACAGCAGTTTTCTCTGAGTTGGTCTGAGTCACCATCAACAAAGAAGAACAGCAACACACCCAAAGCAGACTCACATGTTCCCACTCAGGACCCAAAAGGAAGGGGGACAAAACCAAACCGACACATAGCAGAGCTTAATCACTGCTTGTTGTTGCCCTGGCTGCTTGTCCCCTATGAGGGAACAGCAGTTGGTCTGAGTTATCATGAGCAAAGAAGAAAAGGAAACACCCCCGGCCCCCGAAGCAAACTGCCAAGCAAAAACAAACATACATGTTCCCACTCAGGACCCCAAAGGAAGGCGACAAAGCGAAACCCAAACATAGCATAGGATCATCCACATGCTGCACAAGAAGGGAGAGGTCAATGTGTTATCTCACACGGTTGCCTGTCTGCTTGTACCCTGTTGCGTTACCTGCGTGTGATTTTCAGCATGCTAAAGTGTAATTAATTCAGGGGGGACACCCCAGTTCCTTGTAAATTCTGCAGGATTGGGGATGTGGCAAACATGTAAGTTACAACTTGTGAGGTCAACCTTTCTCCCATAACCCAGTTTTTTCCCGACATTGACGTGTGGGGTTTTGTTTTTAGTGTGGTATCCGCTCCTCCTTCCCGCCTCCTTACCACCTCCTCCTCCCCACCAATTGCCACCAACAAATTGTCACCAACTAAATGTCACCAACCAATTCTCATCCACCGATGTTCATCAACCAATTGCCACCCACCAATTCTCACCAACCAATGTCATCAACCAATTGTCTTCTCCAGGGGGTACGCCCGGGTGCTGGCCGGGGCTGGCCGGGGCTGCTGGGTCTCGGCCGCTGTGCCGCTGTGATTTGCGTGGCAGGCGCCGTACTTCCCCGTACTTTGGTGTTCTCCAACCAATTGCCACCCACCACCCAACCTCCACTCCCTCACTCTCCGTCCTCAGACATTCTCTCTGGCTAAGTTGCTAACATGTGGGGTTATCCGGTCCTATAATTTGGATGCGTGGACTAATTGTAAGTTACATTTCTTGAGGCGATTTTTCCTTGGTGGTGAGGCAGAGGCATCAGTTTGTGTGTGTGTATAGTCAGGATTTTCGCTTGGCTTCATTGTGAATCTGCATCATTATGCAACAGTTCAAGCAGACATAAGCTAACGCCCGCTAACGCTCTAGGTAGCCAACGCTATAGGTAGGGGGTTTTTTTTAAAGGTAAGTTCAGGCCTGCCAGGTTGTAAGTTACATTTTCCAGACCCTCCCTACCCTGTCGATCTGCCGACGCAACCTTGGGGGGGTTGCAAAATGTAAGTAAGCGCGTGCCAGGTCACAAGTTACATTTTTTTTGACCCCCCCCACCCTCTACCCGTTTCGATGGTGCCTCGGGGGTAAGTTACACTTTTGGACCCCTTAGGGTCCCACCCTAAAATGTAACTTACATGTTTGAGGTCCCCCCTCCCGGAACCATCATAAGGCAGGGTGAACCATGGTCATTGTCAACATCCTGAACCTGAATCAAAGATCAATTGATAGTAAAGGTATGTTGAGGTAAACTATAGCAACTTCTGCCAAAGGACGTCACAAATCGTCTCTTCTCTCATCAACCAATCCACAAACTCGTCCATGCGGATGATGGACCTGAGAAGAATGAAGCCCGGTGCTTCGGTTCTCAGTCCGCTGTCACATGACACGAATGAGTTCTCTACCGACTCCGTGAAGGTAAGTGTGTTTCTCTTCAGACCAAACAATGTCTTGCCAATTTAAAACCCATGGCTACACGGTTTGTGTATAAGTGTGTGAGTGTGTGATGAACATCATGCACTTGATGTGCTAAACTCGTTTTTGGCGAGTTCACTCCATCTTCACTCCATGTCTCCAAGTGTCATTTGGTTCGAGTTCGTTGCCCCCTGGGCTCACGGACATCTTGCCGTTCATGTCTCGATACCGAAGCTTTCGATAGTCGGCAAAGAGGGGCTCTAGGGTCTGGTAGATGGTCAGATACCTGAGACTTCTCAAGGACACAGAAACACTCTCTCTGTGCATCCGGAGCGGAACGGAGAACATGGGAAAACCAAGGAGGAGGGCTGTTCATCTCACACCCAAAGAGGGTCATTGATCATCTCCTTTATCCCAAGAATGGCACCCATCTGAACCACTGGGAACTGTTGAAGATCGTTGAAGCACGGAAGTAGATTTGAAGTATAGATCTGAGCCCCTGCCACTTAATCCTGAAAGTCACAGTCATTTCATACCCCTGCCTGGCCTGGCCGTGATCCGGAGATACGCACAGCCCAGTGCTCGCAAATATTTCAGCTCTGGCTGCTTAATGTACTCCATGACCACATCCTCACAAAATATTGCAAGTGTTCGCAGAATGAGGGTCCTACTCGAAATCAACCAGCTTTCACCGGCTCCTTCTCTTAGCTTCCACTTTTTGTGCAAATAGGCATGGCTGCCCAACGCTGGGACAACCATCTCAAAGAGGTTCTTATTGAGGGTTTCAGGTGATTCGATCGATAAACTAATTACATACATGTGATTACTGTATTTGTATATGGCACTGCATGATGTTCCTCAACACCCCTGCGACAATCTTAGAGCAAATAAAAAACATGACATAACAACAATACTACTATATACTACTATGAGTGTAGCGTCATAAGCCATGGGGATACCACAGCAAAGACATGTCCAGGACTGCCCTGAGTGAGCCTAGCCTTGCCCACCCTTCGCAGGCGAGGCCGCAGGCCCGCCTCCTCTGGCTGGATCTGAAGCAGCTTCAGGAAGAGACACAAAAACCGCGAAGGCCGCCGGCGCCCACCATAGGTCCCGGCCACATAGTCCAGCCTCGCGGCCTGCGCGTGCGAGTCCACTAAATTGATGACCTTTGATGACCTGCCAGTAATCCAAAATGACAAATTGATGGAACAATTGAATTTGGAAGTGAGAAAACCAAACGGGATGAAGGTAGGTCCTTTAGTGCAGACCAACACAAGCCAGTAGAAAAATGGTGCCACCAATAAGGCTACTGCAGCAAGCAACACAGCTTGACAGTGCAGGTGTTTGGCTTGATATCCGCTTGAGCCCAAAGTGATCCCTTCAACTACTAGTAACAAGTGCATCGCTACTAGTAACAAGGGCATTGCTACTAGTAGCAAGAAGCTCCAAATCCACTCTACTCAAAACACACCCAGCGAACAGGTCCCAAATGGAGCATGATGGCCTCGTCAATCAACGACTCGGTGGTCAAACCAAAGCAGTATTCCTTCCAGTAAGCATCGTTGTAGATCTTCACTCGCACGATTCGATCCACCAGAAACTGGGGGTTTGCTCCATGGACGGTATCTGCATCAGGGTCAGTGCGGTTCGCCATGTGCAATCACCTCGGCGTTGCAAAATAGACCGTACAAAATGACCCGAGCAGCTGATGTGACTTATGATGTTTTGTGACTTCTGAACTCATGTTCAATCTGGCAAGTTCTACTCCAAGTCTGAGTGTGAGGCGCTGGAGCCCTGGTAGTATTAGCATGATAAGAACAGCTGCGGAAAGGGAAGTTCTGCCAAGTGAGCGTATGCAAAGGCTGGGAGGGGTCCCTTGCACAAGGAAATGCCACAAACCTAGCAGCAACAAATCACTTGTCGAGGTGTCACATAGATCTTCGATGACCTATCAGCACCAGCACACACACACACACCGTATATAATTGCAGCCGAAAGACACTGGAATCAACGCAAATCTTGAACTTCAACTAACAATAAGGTCACTTGTTTCATGAGGGTGCTCTATTGAGTATTTTCATGGACTTTGGGACAAAAATCCCAACAAGATTGTCTGACGTCTCCACTCATGAGCGTCTCCAGGCTCCTTTTTCATCGCCCCTTGCGGCATCCGCAGCCCTGCATCCTCCTGAATCCGCAAGCTAGCCACTCTCAATATATCTCTCAAGCACGGTAACACAAAGACTGATAGAGCCCCCCGGAGTGGAACATGATCTTCCCGGAGTGGAACATGATCTTTCCAAACATTTGCGACTCTTGCTGTGTTTAGCAATGGGACTCTTAAGAGGGAGTAGCCACTAGCAGTAGATCCAAAGTGGACAACGATTTCAGCCCGGAGCACCAACACACGGACCATCCTTGAGTACAGTCTCACAAAGAAAAAGACTATCATCTAGGCTAAGGCGCATTTGTTTGACAGCATATCAGCTAGCTGAACAGATATGGCTAGGACCCCCATGACTCACTGAGATTCAATGGTGGCCAATCTCTTCAAGGCAGATGAGAAGGAATCAAAGAAAGCAAACCAAAACAAACAAACAAAAACCAAAACAAACAAAAGCAAAAAGACCATGCAGAGAAACAGAACCAAAGCTTTCCCCAAAGGAAGCAAACGAAAAGTCCTCATGTCTTCAGCCCAAGGAAGCGGCCCTGCAACAAGCGAGTGAGAAAAGGCTTGACAGGTCGTTGAAACCAACAATTCGGTTAAACAACTTCAGCTTGGTGCATCGTTTTTCTCATCTACATCTCGGCCCCTTTTTACACATCCTCTTCTATTCTGGCTCAAAGGCCCACGTCTGCTTCACCCTCCCCAGCCTCAAGGATATCCAACAGCAGCTGCTGTCGCTCCGGACCTTCCATCACTGGGCCCAGGAAGGTGTCCAGTTGCTCCAAGCCCTGCGGAGCGACCGCAGGGGCAGACCAGTCTCTCTTCGTCCATGTTCAGGATACGCTTCGGCCAAAGAGTTCACTCGTCTAAGCCGAATCATGAAGCTCCAGTTCTAAGTTGTGGCCCATTGCGTGGTGTTGGAGGATTGGTATTCTATAGGATCTTAGAAGATGGAGGCCATCGCTATTACAAACAATGAAAATTTAAAATATAGTTTGCTTATGTTTGAGGAGAACATCACGGGCTGGACCCAAATGTGCATCCGATTGGTCCCGAAGGATTGACAAACGATGGCCTATGACATGTACTGGGGTCGACCAGGTCAATCGGTTTAGCTGGAGATGGTTCCAGTGTGCTGTGGTGTTTTGTTGGAAACACGTTCATGTCTTTTCCTTCGCAAGTGCAGGCATAGAACTATGTAATAAACCTGTTCCAGTAAATGGGCCTTCCATGTCTGTTTGTTCTGCGCGCCTGAACAAGTTCATCGGGGACACGTGGGCTCTTTTCAAGCGCCAGCTTGAGAACTGCAGACACCTGGCATCTTTTGACGATCTGATATGGATGTAGTTGAAGAATCAAATAAAACCCAAGAGGCCTGCACTTTTTGTCTACTGTCAATTTTTTCTGTGGGTTGGGATGATACACTATAGTTGAGCCATCTCCGCATTTTTGATCCTCCGAGTAGTTCACAGCTGTGATGGGGCGGCTTTGCTCGCCAGGAAAGGTTGTGGCAACATGTGGCAACGGTGTTGTGCAAACCCTGAGTAGTTGCATGTGTGCAACAGGGGCATATCATTGTGGTCCTTGCAGCCTTGCGTGGTGACCATGTTCGCTGAGTACTTGCACGATGTTGGAGCTGGCTGATCAGCTATATCCAGCATGAATACAAAGAACAAATGCCTTACAATCAGGAGATCACCAGAACAAAATGTGATAGCTGCTAGTACAGTGAGAAAGCACAAAAACCACTGGTTCAAAGTACTTGGGTTACTTGGCCCAACTTGACTGTAGGCAAAGGGGTGCAGTCGTCTGGGGCTTGACCCACATGCCGGAGTCACAACTCTACGGCCATTGCACTGTAAGAAGCAGCAACAAAACCATTGTCCGAACAAACGCACCATTGGAGTTTGTTGTCATTCTGAAAGAAAGTTCAGGGCCACTCCCCAACTGAACCAGTCTGGGCAAGGCCCGACCCAACGACCGCGACAAGAAGGAGCAACCAGTCGCTGAAACCGGGCCTTGGAGGGACCGACGGCATGTGCCACCAGCTCCTGTCGGGGGTTCTCCGAAGTCAGGGTGTCGAGCTCTGCTTGGCCTCACCTTTTGGACGTGAGAAATCCAAGCCAATACCACTGGCAAAGTCGATGAAACACCCCTGTTACCTTGTACACACATCCACCTGGAGGACCAACTGTGGATTCCCAAGAACCATTGAAGATTGTTTCATGATGTTTCATGTTCTTGTCCTGGAAAGGTTCCATTCCCTCTTCTTCATAGAAATCAGTGGACCTGAAAATAGAAACTCCCGGTGGTACGGAAATCTGTCCATTAAGTGCAAGCCTTCGGAGCCACGCACGAGAAATGACCATCACGAGTTAGCCTTAATTAGTGAAGTACACCAACGAACCGGCTTGTGAGAGGACCCATGTGAGACACCTAGTTACCTAGTTCTTGCGCGTTAGTGCACTTTGATGCACTTTGTTCTCAGTGAAGAGGTGTTTCTAGCGTACAACAGCAGCCACCCCCTTATGTCCTCCACACATCTTTGGTAAAGCACTCGGCGAACGCCGAAGAGCGGCCTGGCGTCAGGATCAAGAGCGACATGGGCTTTCGTCGTGGCGGGTGACACTTGGCACTCCGTTGGTTGTTGCTTGACCAAAAAGACAAGACATCATGACACAATGAAGACCAGGGCGAGGGACTAACCATAGAAAAGAACGGCTACTAGTAACAAGTGCATCGCTTCTAGTAACAAGGGCCTTACTAGTAGCAACAAGAAGCTATTGGAATTAAGTGTAACAGTCAACACACCAGAGTCCTCGGAGCCAATATCGACTCTTCATCCGCGTGGCCTGTCCCAAGTGATTTGCCCTTTGGCCAAATCTCCGTGGAACCAGGTGGGTGGCGGATACCAGAAATTGAAGCTCACGACCTCAGGCCCAAGTTGTCTCTCACCCAGGAGTCCAGGGATAGGAGCTGAGAGATGTAGTTGACACGGTGTCGTTCGGACATGGATGTGGAGTTGTCTATGAATCTGTTGGTTTTCCTCAGGGACCGGCTCAGGCACAGGAACTCAAGTCAAAAGAATGGAAAACAAAAGAAAACAACTTTTGAAACTCAGTAGAACGAAATCCCAGCAGCTGGAGTGAAAACTGCTTTGCCCTGGTCTCGTCTTCATTGTTTCAGCATGTTTGACGCTGAGTTTACACTGAGGTGGCTACCTCCCCCTTGGGAGATGGCATCATCTCCACATGATGCCACCAGCCTGGTGGGATGTGCCTCAGACCGGGCAACACATGACCGGCCCGGCCCATGTTGCTTCCCAAGATGGTCAACAAGCCGTCTTGGTCGACTGGAAATCCGACTTCGGAACTGTTTCCCAGACCAGACCTGGGAGACGCCCAGAAAGACCTGGGAGACGTCCGCACAGAGTGCGTACCAATGTACCAAGCATGACAAGTTGTAGAGCATGACAAACCCATTTCAGTCTCCTTGAGCCCCAAGGAGAAACCTTTGTAACAAATGCAACATGCGGAACCGGTTCCACGTGGAACCAGATCTCGAGGTCTCCATCGGCACACGTCGTCCTTCGGCTCCTTCATCAGAGCCGCTTTGGTCAATGTTTGGGGCTCCCTGCAACAGGTCGCCCGGCTCCAGGATTGCTTCAATGCCTTGGCCCTTCAACTCTTGGAAGCGAGGGAAGCTCTGCAGATCCTCGCGGGCGTTTCTCGCCTTTGGTCCACAAAGTAGAAATGTTCAACAAATGATTTGTTGGAAAACGACAAGAAGCATGATGAGTCTCATCATGTTCAAGAAGAATCTGAGATCCTCTCAAAGAAAACATAGCATCTCATCTTTTCCAATGACTTTCTTCTATGCACCTAAAGGAACAAAACAAACAAAACATCCTGAGATCTCATACTGAGGACCCACTGGCTGGACCATTGGTGATCATGGGTGACCCCTGTGCAATGTCTCCACCGTCCGGCTGGTCGAAGTCCACGCGGCTCTGTCTGTCCTCGGATCAGATCGTTCGGGTGTGAACTAACCTTAAAGAGAATGGGTACAATTGTAATATATATATATATTATACTTGTTATAGTTACATAATATCATGGGTAATATCGATATTTGAAATCGTGTATTAAAAAGGAAAAAACATGTGTTGAACCTCCACTTTCCAGGGCACAATTGTGTACTGTGTATGTGTATATATATATATGCGTTTGACGGTCTTGGAAACAAGTGATTAGTTGCCGCCAGTCTTTGTACGGCTTAGCCAGAGCCACGATGACGCTCCGATCGGACTGATGAACTACGATGACGTCCATCGTCTGATCCTTCCCACCGGCTCTCTCCTGAGGATGGTGAACAGGCCACGGGTACAGGCAGCCGAAGTGCCTGTTCCAGGTAAGCGCGGAAGAAATATTGAACCACCTAAGGTGTGCATTGCCCTGTTTAAGGGAGGGTGGTGCCAGGAACATGTGGCTGATGAACAAGTTCTCAAAGTGATCAAAAACCACCAAGCCGACGCAAAGAGGCACCCATTGGGCCGCAGAACACAGTTCCCCTCTGAATGATCCTTCCAAGTAGTCTCCCATTTGTCGTTTCTATTTCTCACCCACAACTTGTTCAGCGCCTTGGATGAAAGAGGATCACTCGCCTCGGAGATAACTGACAAAGAGTCAAATTGGAACCCTACAAGAACGTTTAAGAAAAGAACATGATCATCTAAATCGGTCTAAATTCCGTTGTTTTGTCTTTGTCCATGTGCTTCAGTTTCGGCTTTCTGTCGATCCTTTTGGATCAAAGGCTGCAAGGATTTGCCAGAAAAGTCTTGCTTTCTGTGACTGGGAGCCGGGAGCCTGTTGGACCATCACGACTCAAACCGTTTCCCAGCTGGCGTTTTCCAACGAGCATGCCTCACGATCCCTCACTCCATCGATGCTGGCACTTTGGCACAAGTGAGACCGGTCATGCTGCCCTCTTGGTGGTGGCATGTCGGATAGGTCATTAGCAAAGCAGAAGACAGCTGTACTGATGCCATTTCTGGCCTGTGCGAAATGGAGCGGGAAAATGGAACGCAAGCGAGACCATCAATCCTTTTGACAAGGGATTGGCTTTTCAGAGGACACGGATTCCACTTGCAATGACACCGGATAATGAATGCCACCCACAAAGAGGCATGTGAGCTCAATCCTCATCTTCGTAGCTATAGCTTTCATCATCCCGATCCTCAGTCAACCATTATATAAACACTCTGAATCTAGCCTCCCAACATTGAAAAGATACAACATCACAAAATCACAATATCTAAGTACTTAAATCCCACATCACAACATCGTCGAATAAATCACACGATCACAACATCAATCTCTATATATAAATTGATAATTCCTAAATAGCATCCCAACATCTAAAATGGCATACAAATTTGGTCAAAAGGCAGCTCGTGGCTTCGCTTTGGCCTTCATCTTCGCTTTGCCTTTACCTTTGCCCATGGCCTTTCCTCCCTTTGGCCCTGCCGCTACCGCACCGCCAGCACCGCCAGCAGCCGCTGCAGCGCCTGTAGCGCCTGTAGCACCTGCCGCGGCAGCACCAGCGACAGCTGCAGCTTTGGGCTCCTGGCAATGATGGAAGGGAACTTGGGAAGGAATGTCCCAGGTTTGGGAAGGAACGCATTGAAATGAGAACATGCAGAAGAAGTCCTCCCAAATGTGCCCAAAGAATGTGACTGGACCAGTACAGGCAGGGCTATGCTATATACACGTTAGGTGTCTTTGAAGCAAAGACTTCTTCAAGCTCATGGGCCTCCCGACAAAATCCGGAGCACCTCGGCTTAAGGCTGGCTTCAGCTAAAGCAAAGCGCTCCTCTTCCTCTTCAAACCATGAGGTTGGATCACAGACCTTTCTCCAGTTGATAGAGCCAGGTGGACAGTACTCCTCGGCTCAAACAGACGTCATGCGAAGGTGATGTCTTGGGCAAAACATGCAAGAAACTCTCATCAGCTTGCAGTAGCCTCAGTAACCCACTATGCAAATCTCTCTATCGAAATAGCCGCAACCACTCTGAAATCTCTTCATACAACGCTAGTAGGTTGGAGGTAGGTTGCAGGCTATCGATAGTAGCTTGGGACCAATTGCAATTAGGTTGGAGGCCACCGCTTAGGTTGGAAGCCATGGCCATTAGGCTGGAGGCCACCGCTATTAGGTTGGAAGCCGTCGCTAGTAGGTTGGAGGCCATCGGTTGGAGGCTATCGCTTAGGTTGGAGGAAATCGCTCTTAGGTTGGAGGTCATTGCGTCATTGCTAGTAGGTTTGAGCCCATCGCTAGTAGGTT